GGAACACATTATTGCTTACAATTGGTTAATTGATTGTTGTTTAGCCTCTATTAACATGTGGGGTTTGGTGTTTATTTACATAATACCAGATCATAATATTTTTGGTTATTAATGCAGAATAACTATTCCCCTTGAATTACTTCTTTAAAAACCACATATTGATTTGAGCTAATTAGCATGTGTGTTAATCAGCAACAAACCATTATGAATGGCTTATTTTGATAAAACTCTTAATTTACGGCCTGTTAATGTTAGAATTACAGCATTAGTAGTAAGCTGTTAATAAGTGCTTAATAATGAGTTGTTCAGACTTAGTAGTCCACCAATATGCATATTAGTTGGCAGCTAATTAATGGTTAATTTGTCTTCCCTAAACTAAAGTGTTAGCTTTTCTTTTAGTGCCGGCATTCAGTCACGGCACTGGCTTTGATCACATACGCTGCTACTGCGCTGTACCCAGGCCGCCTCTGCCTTTTTTTTTCTGCTGGCACTCCCAGTCGTAACACTTAAGGTGACTCAGGGTGGGAGAAGCTAGGACCCAAAAGAGAAAAACTGTAGAAACAGACGCCACTAAATGTGCAAAAACTGTCATTTTTCACTAAAACGGGCTGTTTGCGTTCATAATCCAGAAGTCAGAAGCAAGATCCAGCACTAAGCATCAGCAGATAGGATTACTCACTCACTGAGTGAATATTATAAGAATGAATATGAGAGTATGGTGAAGACCTGCTCCATATTAAAGTGGTCCAGATGCTGGCTCTGTCCAGTTTGGTCTGAACCTCACGGTAAATCCAGAAGAGAAAAGTCTTGCATTTAATTTTTCAGATCCCTGCATATACCCTGAATATGTCAGAATTCATGAGCTTTTCAGTTTTTCCTGGTTATTTGATGTAATTCATTGAAATAAACCCTATTTGGATGTGCTCTAAATTAAAGTTCTGATGGTAATTTATGTCATACCTGTAATTTATGTTTACTTCTACAAAATAAACTCATGTAAACAGATAATTTTTTTATGTTCTTACTTGATTCTCCTTTATAGCCAATCCATCCATCCATCCATCCACCCACCCATCCATCCATCCATCCATCCATCCATCCATCCATCCATCCATCCATCCATCCATCCATCCATCCATCCATCCATCCATCCACCCATCCACCCACCCATCCATCCATCCATCCATCCATCCATCCATCCATCCATCCCATTATTAAAGACACAAAATGGTCCATAGCAGATAATAAAAAATAAAACAACTTAAGTGGATTAATTAAAAGTAAATGCACGCTGTTACAGACTCACATAAAGGTTAAGATGCCAAAATTCCACATATTGGAATAAAACATAACAGAACTCTACGTGAAGGTTTGTCAGAGACAGGAGGATGCTGTTACTCCACTAACCTACACAAACAACTGTACATGAGATGCCGTCGTACTGCAGGGCTTGTAGGTACACCCACATCAACATTGTGCTCACACTGCTCCATCTTGGCATTCTAAGCATCATCCTCAGCCCGTCATTGTAAGCAACAGTAAGTTTCCTCGTGCTGCTTTTCTTATCGCGCCTCCATAGACGGGCAGTGTACGTTGGGGTACAACATGCTTTAAGCAGTTCAGTTTTAACAGGTACAGAACACATTTCAAACGTATGCATCAGAGTGTTCGCCTGTGCATACAGTAGGCAGCACTGCCTGTAGATGTTCACATCATCTGTCAGGTCATTAGGTGTATGGCGTTCTTCAAGAACGCCCGATTCAGAGAAGTCTGGAAACACCAGCTTACTGTCTTCTTTTCTCACAATTAAAAGGTTGCTCTTTCTGGCATTCAAGTTGGTGTCAAACTCTGACCCATACTCAGAGCAGACCTTCAATAGCTGCTGAAAGCCATCACTGGATGAACAGAGGATCACCAAATCATCTGCATACATTAAGGTAGGGCTGCACAATATATCGTAAATATATCGTTATCGCAAAATCAGGATGCACAATAAGTATATCGCAAAGAACGGATAAATATCGCAATGAACGGTCAGCTCAAATGTTTGCTACACAATTTATTCTGTCAGTCAAACGGAAGTATGATGTATTTTTAACACACCAAATAGAGCTCTTCACCCATTTGGCCAATCGGGTGGGTTCTCATAGGTCAGATGCCCGCCCCCGAGGCAGACGGCACTTAATTTTGATGGTTAGCAAACACCTGATTTAGCTTTGCTCTGCTCTTTCTACTGATTCTGCTTTTCCCGGGATCCACAGATTTAATTTTCTTTTCCCCTTTCCTCACATATTTTGCTTTTCTCATTTGTATGATTTTTTTATTTCTTTGTTTTTGATTATTTTTATTCCTGAGTTAAGTTTTTATTTATCACAACTAATATCGTCATCGCAATATTAATCACTGTTATCGAATATCGCAGGTTTTCCTAACATCGTGCAGCCCTACATTAAGGGGTTTAATATTGTCTTACCAACCACACATCCAGTTCAACAGTCACTAAGCTGCTTTGGCAGATCATCCATATAAACATTAAAAAGAAGAGGAGACCGAATACTTTGTCTAACTCCATTACAAACCTTAAAAGGAGAGGACACACAAGTACCCCCTACATAGCATACCATACGTAGGCTGATGTACCAATGGGTTAGTCTTAATTAGGAACTTAGAAAACAACTTTTCACGGTTTAAACGATCAAAAGCCTTTGATGCGTCAATAAATCCCATAAAAAAGTGGAATTATGCTTGTTACAAAAATCTGAAATCTCTTTCAAAGCAAAAATGCACATGTCTCTACCATGTTTTGATTTAAAACCAAACTGGTTTCAAATGGTTAAAATGGTTCTCTCCATAACCTTAGATAAAATACTGTCCAGAGCTATAGGTCGATGGTTATCTCTGCTACTACAGGGTATCCGCGGGTCCTTAAAAAGTCTTAAATTTGCTTTTCCAAATTTAAGGCCTTAAAAATCCTTAAAAATGACAAATAATCCATAAATACAGTTTCCAAAGGTCTTAAATTACCAAAGACCCAATAAACAAGATTATTTTATTTCAATTTTCATGAATTTCTAGTTAGTGTTCAGCATTTTTTGTGTACGATGTTGGCCTAAGTGGAACCGTACACATTCAGTTGGTTGTGAAAGGGGGCTTTTTTAGATGAGCACATTAGCTGGTTAAGCTAGTGGGAGATTGCGCCATGGGGACGTGCAACTTTTATGGTAACTGGATGGCTAATCCCACATTCGCAATAGCTGGAAATTATAGTTTAAATTTAATTTTAAAAAGTAGCTTAAATTTGGTCAAATTGGCCTTAAAAAAGGTCTTAAAAAGTCTTAAATTTGGCTCCCTTAAACCTGCAGATACCCTGTACTAATTTTGCCAGCTTTATCTTTCAGGATGGGCACCAGTGTAACAGATAAAATGGAGTCAGGTAAAATGCCATGAGTCAAGAACCCCGTAAAACAGATGGCAAGCAGAGGAAAGAGCTTCCTACTGGCATGTTTTAGGTGTTCTGCACAAATATCATCCCTACCACATGCCTTATTGTCCATTAAGCCCATAACTGCATCATAGACCTCCTGTGGAGAGACCCTCACATCTTCCATAGTATCAATATTACCCACCACAGGGGGGTCACTCTTAACGCAGTTAAAAGCTCCCAATACTGACTCAGCCACATCTGGGCAATATTCTCTGAGCCACTTATACCATCAATGTTTGCTGTCAGTGGTGTTTAGAAGCTCTCATTCTTTTCACTTCCTTCCAGAAATCATTCATACAGGTGATTTCTTTAAAATTTATATTTTTGTTTAGTTTCACCGGGTTCCTTGAGAACACTGATTAGCACATTTACATTAGATTTGGGATTTTTAGAACTTTTATAACTGTTACGTTCCACACTATTGTGTGGCCGTAAATGTGCTGTTTCTCTTTTTTTTTTTTATTGTGTTTGTTTAAAATGGCGCATTTAAGTTCTAACCAGTTAAGGACACACCGGTTCAAGACATCGCTGGAGGGTGGCGTCCCCGTTGCTGTGGAGACGTGCCGGGATTCCCTCGCTGCAGACGTTCTCTCCGATGACGTCATTGGGAAGTCCCCGCTCCGAATTGCTGCAGCCACACCTGCAGCTCATCTTGGACTGAGTGTGTTTGTTCCCGTGAGGGGATAAAAGGAACGCTGGATACACGCCCGAGGAGCTACTCCTAACCCATGAGTAGTCTCCATTTCTGCTCCGTTCTGGACACCCTGACTTTGTAGAATACGGTTGCGATTACGTGCGCGTGGTAAGAGGAAAGCCTCTGCATGGTATTCTACTTAAGCCTGAGTCAGTGGCTCCTAGTATCTAGTGCCAATCGCTTCATACTGGTATCTTTGCCTTGACAGAAAACTAATAATGCACTGTTCTTTTAAGGCTTGTTTTGTTTGGCTGCAGAGAGCCTTTTTGCTTATAGAAGCTCTTAGAAACCCGTACCAGCTTAAGTAAATATTTCATTTGAAAAGCTACCAGAGATCTGTTGATTATAGTTTGTTTTACAGCTTTTAATTAAAAGCTGTGATTTTTCTTTAGTACCTTTTTATTTGACTAAGGAGTTTTCTTTGTTGGGCTGTGTCTAGTGGCATTTGTCAGAACCTCCTGCCCCAAGAACAAGTGTAAGCTGTGTAACAAAAATAATGTGTGTTTTAATTAAATAAGGAAAATATTTTTATACCCAGGTTTCTTTCTCATCTGTTCATATCTTTTCTCTGTCCTCTTAGCTTCTTAAAGTAAGGGGGAAAGCATAAGTTACAACCTAACAATAACTACAAGTTTTTTTTAAATAAGGTTTAGTTTAGATTTGCAACTGAAGCATATCCTAATTTTTGCACAATTATCGAGGTTTGTAAAAGTCAGATTTAGAAAATGAATGTAGAAAATAAGGTTATGAGGAGGAGTTTATGTAGGTCAGAGGACTGTCTTTGGATTTCATAGTAACATGATTGTATTTGTGTGTTTTCAGACTCTATCTCCTCTACAATCATTGGGCTTTCAAGGTTCTCCTTTACTTCTTTATCATGGTCAACCTGTCTCTGGCCATCTTTGAGGAACCAGCCGTCTTCCTTCTTCCTCTCTGGGTATGATCGTTGATCAGATTATACATTTACTGTCGTTGCAGGGAAATTAAAAGTTGATCTTGGGTCTTTTTCTTGACCAGTTTTATTTTTTATGGATAACTAAACCTTATGAGCCAAAAGTGCTCAGAATATTAACAGATATTTGCCATCATGGTGGCAAAGAATAGAATTGAACATCCAAAAGAGTCTGGTAACAATGCAGGGCGAACACTGCGACTTTTGCACTTGTAGCATTCAGCTTCAACTCAAACTGTACGACTTCCCCGTAGAGCAAACCTCACGAATCATGTGCAACCTGACTGCTCACACTGAACGTGTGGTAGCAACACGTCAGACCTACAAATATGCTAAAACATAGCAGTTTTTACACGACACACCGGACTTTTTTTGTGTCGTTAATAATGTCTGTTGTCCTTTGGGAGTGGGATGTGTGGGGGTCGGATTAGAAGAACGTAAGAAAGTAAATGAATGTTTTGTGATAAGTTTCATTTGACATAAACACGCTTTCTTGGCAATCTTTGCCATTGCGCGTAAAAAAGTGTAGGAAAAAAACAAATGACTTGTGTTAATAGGGAAATAGCTGGCAAGCTGTGTTGATGCATGTTTGCGCATGCACCGTGAGCGTTTCTGGTATTTTTTGGGTCGCAACCACTTGCAGCGCTGCTTCAACAGTGCGATGCACTTATGAGTGATGAGCAAAATATCAAACAATCCAGAAATCTGTGCGAGCTCGCAACTGCTGATCAGTAGCAGGTCACGTGGTCTTATGCCCGGATCACACGGTGCGATTTTTGGCCGTCGCACAGGATTGTTCATGTCACACTGTGAGAACTCCAGAAAGGTGTCACACTGTAGGGCGCAAGATTTCAGTGTGGCAGACTGTACAACGTCTCTCGTGTGTGTATATATATAATATTCTATTTGATGAAGTTTTGAGTTAATTGAGACTGTGGTCTGCTAAAAAAATTAAAATAAAACTAAATGATAAAAGGCTCAATAATATGTATTAGATTTGTGTTGTCTAGTTCCCTATTTCCCATCAAATGACGACACCCGTTGAACTGAAGCTAATGTAGCTACAAGCTAACCCAAAGCTAACGCGGAGGTGGGAGCTAAGCTAACAGAGGTAGCTACATAGCTACAACCGGAGTTAACTGTGCACAACCGGAGCTTCTGAGTCAGAGATACGCCGGGCTGACCGCTGGGTAAAACCGGGTGGAACGCAGAGGTCTACCGAGAGCTCCACAAGCCGGCAGTTGCGCAGCAGACAAGCACCGCTGCGATCAGAGATACGCCGAGCTGCCGCTGAGGGGAGGGGACCATACCGATAGTCGGAACCCAGCTCCACCAACATGTTGTATTTCAACCCATTTTACCCTATTACATTTAAATTTTATGGTTAAACAGTACGTGTTAAAAGCTAAGCTCAGCTAGTGCAAGAGCGGCAGTGACCTAAAATACATAAATATAATTTTACTTACCGAAAAAAAATGAAGTGGAGACTCCTTGGACGCTCTATTAGTGCAATTAATGCCACAGCAAGTCATTTTGTCCAACAAATGCACAAATAATATCCAAAAAAGAACGCGCAAACGCTACAACTAATGGTCTAAGTTGACAGACTGAAAATGGCGGAACAGTTTTCAGGCGAGGCCGAGGCTCAGGCTGAGGCATTTCCTCGGAGCTAGCTCTGTGGTCACGTGGGTCTGATGCTCATACATTATTCAGAATTTTAGGCTTTTAATACACTTAAACAGAAGAGTGACAAAAAAAATCACCCCCCTCAGAGTTGTCATGAGTATAAACTAGCTCTATTAAACCTAAAACATGTTTTGTTACCAGGCTGTAAACATGTTTATTTCTGCTGTGAAATTGGTATTTTTAACATGGGAGTCAATGAGGATTTGCTCGCTTCTGACACCAGCCCCTAGTGGATGAAGGTGGAACTGCAATTTTGTCACTTCCTGTTTTGCTTCATATCCAGACCCGAATTATGGGGGCTTGGTCGAGAGAAACGACTACCTCTAGTGTAGTGGTCATGTGTTGAGAAAGAATCACATTTAAAAGCATACAAACATAAAAAAACACTGGCAGTCTTTGACCTTTCTGGTCATCTGAAATAATAGCAGGAAGAACGTTGTCAAGACAAATTGCCAAAATATTAGCTAAAATGGTAACGGCTACGGTAAACGGCTTGTTAAGAAAACTTTAGCACTGCGTTAATTTAATTGTATTAATTTTGTCCAAGATAAACGGAAGTTCGCAGCAGCGCAGGGAACGCCCCGAGACCCTTTTTATACCGACATTGTGTAATCTTTTGTAAAAAGGACACGATTGTGCCATTTTACTGTTGTTGAAGCAGAGTTGAAACTACAACAGCCTCTAGACACAGGCCCTCCAGGCACAGAATTGAATAGCCCTGATCTTTAAGATACAGTTTGTTTTTACTGTAAATACAAGTTAATGAGTTGTTTATGTCAACGTGTGTTGGTCAGTGTTCTGCTGTGTTGTTTTCAGGCTACAATGCTAGTGGAGCTGCTCTGTCTGATCGTCTTCACCGCCCGACTTGTTCACTATGCAAAGGTGATTCCTCCGGTCAAATTTTGGAAGGACCCCAAAAATATCTGCATCATCGCTGTCCTCACGGTAAGAAGTCTTTTCTGTGTCTGATTTTGGTTCTGGTTGCTGTTAAAGGTTCTCTTATATAGCCTTCATCAAAGGTTTAGATAATAATTTAAACATCACTAAGTCAGCGTCAGGTTTTAGGGTTTCAGTTAGCATAAACTCCAGAATTAATTGTATTCTTCCCTTTTTATGACAATGAACTTAAAGCTGTGGTATGTAAGTTTGAATAATTAAATAACTTAAAAAATCCTTAAATTTGACCATCTGACCCTGTTCTATGAGGAAAAAGTAATATTTTATTTTATTTTTCCCCCTCACCTGGCCTCTACAGCTAAATTAATCTTTTCTGCGAAGCCTACCGCGTAGATCTGTCTAAATATTTCCCACAAGAGGGAGCAGTCAACGAGTACGAGCCTCAGTCACCAGCGTGCACAATGGTGTTGCACTCCTCAGTTGGCTTGACACAACAAAGGAGCAAAAACTATTGTTAGAGCTTCCTTGGCTGCCTTAATGTCTGATACAAACTGTGAAAGTTTAAAAGTGCTTTTTTTTAAATTCATCATGAGAGGTTCTAGACAGTGGAGTTGGACTTAAATTGGAGAGGCCTTTGAAAGATGAAAGAAGCTTTTTGATCTATGAGGCCTCAAAACTGATGAAGAGTTGGCAAAGCAGATTTTGTCGATGGTCGATGGTTTGACCCAATAGTATTGCTATTTTATCAATCTCAAGTTAAACTAAAGTTCTTGACATAAGTCTAAAGCAGAGGTGCCCAACCTTGGTCCTCAAGATCCAAAAACAAAACTTTAAAGAGCAAATTGCAGGTTAAATTTTTTTTTCTAATTCGTATAAAGTGCTATCCAAAAAATACTATTGGAAATGCGTGTTGTGGATATTTTGTTTTTAAAATACACAACAGCAGGGCTTTTCTAGTAAAAATTTGCCTTTCTCAGCAAAGCTTCTAAAAAAGCTCTTGTTTCTAAATCTGAACTTCTGACGTAACCAAAGGGAGTTAGAAGCTAGGCGCTGCCTCAGCTCAGTGTGGAGAGTGGGTAGTTTTAGGGTAGAGAGCTCATGTTATCCAGTCAGTGTGTGTGTTCACTAGTGTTGGATTGTGTTCATGTTGATAAAGTGTAGTTTGTGAAGGCTGTACCATCTCCAGCCTGTCCGGACATCGAGTCCACGGGTTTCCATATGAGATAAACAACGCCTCTATATCCGTGCCTGAGGGCGTTTTGTGCAGCTGAAAGGACGGACTTCTGTAGCCCGCATCAGTCGGTAGCGGGTCAGGGAGGTCTATGCTGGGCTCCGGAGACCCATGGCGGGGTTTAAAAAAATTAAATGTGGATTTCTGGAGCTCAGATCACCGTCAGAACCAACCACCAGAAGAAACACGCGGCTTAGAATCCTTCACTCTTTACTTCCTGGGCATTTCAAAGACGGTCCGAGCACTGAAAAGACACGTCTCCCATGAGACTTCAAGCTGTACCTGGGCACAGTGTGTTTGTTTCTGACCTCAACCAAAGTCTGGAAGAAGCCTCTGGGATGAGAGGCTAAATGTCTCCAACATATCCAGAAACGTCCAGCTGATTTCAGCTGAAACTCTCAGGATGATCATGTCCAGGATGACTGAGAACTACACCTCCATGCTGCAGCAGCATTCAGTCAGAACAGAAACTTAAACGTAGCTGCTGTCAGTAACAATCTAACAGATTTAAACATTTAAACTCAACAGAAATAGTTCAGAAAGAAATTAAAATGTTCACAACTTTGTGTGTGATTATTATTATTACAATTATTTATTGTGGAAGAAGCTGGTGTGGTCCACCTCAGAGAAGCTGCTCTAGCATGATGACTGATTATTCTACAGGTTAGTGTTCAGCCTGCTGACACACACACACACACACACACACGAGTGTTGGTGAGCGGCTGCGTCTGACTGCTGACACTCCGTGTGTTTTTATTTATGCAGTGAGGCAAACTCGCCTCACACCGACCAGAGTTTGTTCTTTAAAGCTTCTATTAAATCCACCGTGTTGACGTATTTTAACAAGATTCCTCTACGCTGCAGGAGTAAAAGTTTAGCAGACGCGTTTGTTTATATCTGGGTGGGGGGAGGGGGGACTCGTGCTACGCAAAGACAGCTGGTATGATCAGCTCTGAAAAGCGTTGATCACAATTTGCAGATCATGTTTATTTTTCACGATGATCGGCCGCGGATTCCTCTTCCGGTCGGCATTCTAGGAATCGCAACTAGGAATCGAAATAAAAAACTTTGAACAATTCCGGTAAAAACTAACAGTTGGAACCGGTTCCAATCGATGCTCAATGCCCAACCCTACTTCCCAGACAGCCAATGAGCCCAAAGCTCGGCCCAAAAGGAAGTCAGGCTCATCTATGCAAACAAAAGGCTGAGGTGTAAACGTTAACTCAGGACAGAGAGCGGAGGGGGAAGAGAAACGTGAATTCAGCCAAAACTTTAGTTTCATCTAGTTCTCCTCAATGACATAGTTTTGCGTGCAGTTTTAGGTTTACAGTCAAATTCATTTAATTTTAATTACCTTTTTTTAATTTTACAATTTATTTTTCCAAGTTACAATTTTTTTTTTTTTTAATTTTCAGTTTTGGTTTTCAAAATTTCTTTGAATTTGCCATCACATTTTTTGAGTTAACAATGTGTTTTTATTGTCTACGTGGAGCTGAGCCCGTTTTGATAGCCATGCTCGGGTTTGGGGTTACCAGATCACAACTTGCTAAATGCGGGACAGAGACTATTTGTTGTGGGACGTGAAACTCCAATGCAACAAGATAAAGTAAAAATAACCAAACCTTCCATTCTGCCTTGTAGCTCTGACATTACTGTTAAATACACGTAAAATCATTAATATTATCATCAAATACTTCATGTCTATTTCAATTCAACCCTTAGCTTAATTGGTGTGTACTTTACCGTTTAATGATGTTACACGTGTTACATTGTGGCAATGATATCATCAGAAGACTGCTTCCACAGTCTCGTCACTTCTGCATGTTACCAGTATCAGCCCGACTGAGCCATTTACATGCAGATGCAGATGGGTTCCTATTGCATTATCTGGGTGCTTCAGCACGATTAGAACCAGTCCGCCTTCAGCAAGACTAATGCATTTACATGCATTTAAAAAAACTGGTGTCTGTCTATTTAGGGCAATAGTTAGCTCTTTTGGTGCTCATATGAATGCAGATGATGAAACTCTGCAGAAGGCTGTTAATCACCCGGTGATTGAAATCAGGGACACATCTTAAACGTGCTGGATATCTGCCCTCCAGGACCAGGATTGAGCACTCCTGCTTCATTAATGGGCCATTCCCATCTGTAGCAGGTCGGCCCGGGCCGGGTAGCGTAGGTTGTTTACATATCTGGGTGGCCTGGTATTTTTCCGGGCCAACCAAGGCTCATTCTCAGCCCGCTTCTCGAGGGGGTCTGCTTCAGGCCGACCAGAGCCAACACACCCACTGCTGACAGCAAATTCACACCTTCCATTAGAGCAAGCCTCTGATTGGTGGGTAGAATCAGCCCACATGGGCTTAAGACAAGGATGTGTGGAATCAACCGGGCTAGGCTGGGGCCGACTGGGGCTACCCGGCCCGGGCCGACCCGACCCGATCCGGTACAGATGGAATGGCCCAAAGTTCTCAGTCGAGCGCTGAATTACTGAAATAAATGGATTTTTGCACCATTTTCTTATTTTTCAAGTTGCACCTTTTAAATTAGGACGTGGAAACCCAGTTGTTGTAATACGAATAATTAAAATAAGACATAAAGTAAATAGGAACAGTGCTTCCAGTATTCATCTTTTGTGCGGTTTGGATGTTGATGTGGACATGTCCAACTACATCTGAACTGTGTTGTGTTCTGGAGACAGTTGATGAGTCCTTCTCTGGAGGACTTCCTTTTTCTTTAATGGTTGCAGTTTGCTGAGTAGAGTTCCTGTCTGTGAGCTGCAGAGTAAGAATGTGCTGAGAAGGCTTTCTGCCTGTTACGACAGCGCCTTTAGCCAGAAATATTGCCTGGTCAGCGCCCCCCCCCAAATAAAAAACACCCCTTCCTGGTGACTCTGAAGCACCCTCTAAAATGTTGTCATACTCCTGAACAGAAACATTAACCATTTAATTGTCCAGAATACAGTCAAATAATTTCCCATCTCTTGAGTTTTGAGTGAGTGTGTTCAGGACACGAACAGGACATCCTGACCGGTCTTTAGCGACACTATAGACTCCGGTATCCTTAGAACAATATTTAAGCTTTTAGTAAATTCAGCTACATTCGCTTCTCTTTTTTAACACTTTAGATATCTGCATAACACGGTGCGCCTCTAACTGTAGGAAACAAATGTTCCTTTCAAACTGAGCTGTATGCTTTCAATTTGACAATTAAGATTTGACCCAAAAGATTTATTTAGAAGTGCTCTCCGATCAGTCGGCGTTAATTGTTTCTGGGTTGCACCAACCAGCAGGTGTTGTTTCTTAATGTGTATTATTTCTTTTGATTAAGTTGGGTTCGAACTCCTGATTTAGTTCTTAATTTATTGATTTGCTGTTTGAGTTTGAGCCAAGTTTCCAGATTTCAGATCGGTGCTGGAATGCCCGACAGGAGATTTATACTAATTATTCATTATTCAAATGACTTTTATTCTGTCACCTTTATTTTCATCTATATGTATTTATCACTTGAATATACATGGAATAACAATGTTTTAATGGCTGTAAAAAATAAGACTGACCGCTGTGACTGAGTGACAACAATCTTTGCTGCTCTCTGCTGCCTTCAGCTCACTCTGGTTGATATGATCATCTATGGATCGTTGGAAGCTGCGAAGATTTACTGCGTCCGCTGGTCTCGAGTCCTTCGCCCGCTCCTTTTGGTCAACGTCACCGAAGGGCGGCAGGTAAGGACATTTAATTTGTTTAACAACTGACCACAGGAGCGTAATGTGAAAGCTAAAGCTATGAGTGCCCTCTTGTGGCTGCCTGTGGCACACGTTTAAAATTCAATCCTGTCCATGCAAATAAGTGTCATATTGTTCTGACTGAATAATAATGGTAATGATAATTTGATTATTAAGCTTATTTAATGGGACAATGTGTAGTTTTTAACCATCAGTCTCTGGAAACATCCGTCAAAATGTTGTTGAGAATTAATGTAATGATGCCCAGTTGTTGAAAAATATTGGCAGCTTGTAACAAAACCATAAAATTCAGGTCTAAAATACGTGGGAGCGGGTCTAAGTCTCTGTGCGACGCCATATTAGACGCCATGTTTCCTTCTACGGAGACCCGTGATCAAATGCATTTACTGATTTGTAACAAACACAAAACTTTCGCTATTCATAAATAATGTTGTTTTACACATTTGCCTCTTCACTCATTGCCAGTGATGAAAGGAGGTCTCATGTGCTGTTATTTTGCTGAAGTTTGCACTCCCCAAGGCTTTTTGACCCTAATTGGCAGCGAGACTGAGTCAAACTGAGGGGATGTAGCAAAACGCTTACTAACGGCCACGGCAGTTGTAACCAGATCAATGGTAAGCCTACCATTCATTTTCAGATTTGTGGTTTTGCTTTTAGTCTTCCCTAGGGACGGGTACCTTTGACATTTGAATCGATCCGGTACTAATTCCCGGTACCTACGAATCGATACCGGTACTTAACGGTACCAATTTTCGATACTTTTGAGTGTTTAATATTTTAATTCTCTTTTATAATTAAATATATATTTTTCTCAATATATAACCATATTTGATAAATATCACGATAAATAACATTCAACTGTTTGTATTTTAACATCGTCCTTGTAGTTTTATAAGCTGATAATTAAACTGAAGCAAACATCTTTACTGTGAACTAAATTTACTGTGTATCTTCATTCCTTTCGCCGTCTTTTTTCATTTGATTTTTCCTACTGGGAAGTTAGAATTTCCGAGGAGAAAGCGAACGCACCATTAGATGATAACAATGGTAGCAATGGAAGCTAACATATCAAGCTAACGTTATCTTAAACAGTTTAACTGCTGGAGCAGATTTAAACGATGATGCCTCACACTTAGATCGTTGTCACTGGTTTCATCTTCACCCAATCACCCGTCGTTTAGTAAAGTGAAGCCAAACTTTAGAGCGCGTTCATGTTCTTCTAGTCGGAAATTCGGAGTTCCGAGGAGAAAGGGAACGCACCATTAGCGAAACGGAAGCTAACATATCAAGCTAACGTTATCTTAAACATTTTATTTACCTACCATGCTGCTCTGTTTACAACTCGCTCGCAGCGACCGATGACATAACGCTCTTGCGCATGCGCAGCTGTCTAGGCAAGTTCTCGTTGTGATGGACGGGTACCGAAACGAGGCACCGTTTGAAATGAAGTGAATCGGTGCTCGGTCGGTACTGTGGAATTCGGTCGGTACCTTAAAAAGTACCGAATTCGGTACCCTTCCCCTGTATATAATCATTGTATTCCATAAATGTTTAGGGTTATTAAAATCCTTGCATGAACAGTTCTTATAAAAATTAGCTTGGCATTCCTTGTCTGTGTCGTACAGAAATTTTAGTTTCCTATATTCAAGCCAGTGGTCGGGAAGATGCCTAAGATTTGCTAATTTCCAGGCTTTATCTTGTCTCTTGTAAAGAGCAATTCATTCTCAGGTAATCCAAGCCAGATGACTGCCCTTAACTTTTACACTGACCCAGGCGGCACGTTTCTTAAGAATCTGCAGAAACACAGAGCGAAAAAAGTTTCAAGCACCATCAACATCTGACATCAGAGACAGTCTACCCCAAGCTAGAGATCTCAGGTCCTGCAAATAGTGATCAGTATTAAAAGTACGCAAGTCACAGGGCTTTATAATCTTCAGAGGGGTGTGCGGACTAGTTATTTTCCAGAATCAATAAATAATTGAATGATCACTGAGACAGTCGGCTAGAGCCCCAGAATCACAAATTGTATTTGGGTGCGTTAATAAAATCCAATCAGAGAGAAACTGGTGGCACCAACCCTAGTTAGCTCAGAGATCTCTTCCATCAGACTTGAGCTGTTTAAAGCTTTGTTTATGCTTGACGCATTCACTTTCCGCTTGATGATGCGGCTCGCGGATGGAGCGCGCTTCACAACTCGCAGCGTTTATGGTTCATGCGGCTCGTCTCTGCGGTGAGCCAATATTCTCCCAAACTGTAGGGGGCAGCATGGAGCTCTACGGCATGCATCCAACACTACACCATAGTAGAAGTAGAA